AATTACCAAGCCGGGCTGCAAACTGGCAGCCTGTGAAGGTGTTTTGTCCCTCTGAGGGGCACAGGGAACAGCAGGAGCACAGGGGGAACAGGGCTTGGGACAAGCCCTTGAGCCACCCCACGAAAACAGCCCTCAGGAAGGCAGCAAGAAGCCTCCTCGCCAGCACAGCAGCCTTCCAGCCTGCCCACCATCGGGGCAGCGAGTGCTGCGAGGCTCTGTCTGCCGCAGCAGCCTCGCGGTTCCTCCTCAGCATGTAGCCTGCTCTCAGGAGGGCCGGAGAGCTGGAAGTGGCTCCCAGGCTGGGAAATTCCTCTGTATCCAGAGCTTTTATTCAATAAATATTTCAGGCAGCTACAGCGTGACAAGCCTTGTTTACTGCCTGGAGAGGGGGGCTTTTGGGGTGCAGGAAGATATCCCCCCTGCAGATTTCCCACCTCCTCCTGCCTGCAAAGGGTCCTCCCAGCCTCCTCCCCAGGCTCCTGCACACAAGCCCTCGGGGGCTGCTCTGTACCTGCCCCCTGCCCTGCCTGTGCTCTGCTGCAGGAACCCACTCTTTCAAAGAATTCTTTATTGATACCGAAACGTCTGTGTTTTTCCCAGTTGACAAAACCTTCTCATGTGGTCCTTTAAAAAAATAATCATGACACCATCGACCCACGTCCTGGGCTGGGGACTGCCCGGGGATTAGGAGCTGTGAGGAGGCTGTCGCAGGGAACATCCTCTCCATCCAAAAAAACCCCAAAAGCCCACCAACACAGAGGGGGGAAAGAGAAGGGGGAGACTGTACTCTACTTGCAGGAAAGAAAACCTGCTGCTGGAGGAAGCAGCGAGAGCCCCACCGTAAAAATTAATTCCAGTTTCTAGTGTAATCTGACAAACGGATTAGCGGCTGAGGGCACCGGCTCCTTGCAGGGCTGGCTTCGGGGGCGGGAGAGGGAGGAGGAGAGAACCCCCCCATGCACAAAGCCCAGAACTGGCGGTGCCAGCCCACCATTGAGAGGGCGTGGCCCCCCCCTCGGTCCCCAGCAGCCTGTCCTCCCGCCTGGCAAACCTCTCACTGGTCACAGCAAGCTTCTGCTGCAGTAGGGGGGAAGGCTCCCCATGGGAAAGGGATTCAGAAAAGAAACCTGCCAGCCTTCCCACTCCCTCAGTTAGGGATAAAACTACCTTCAGAAAGGAGGAAATAAGTGTTGAGTGCTCTGGACAACCCCTGTCGGAGAGGAGAAGCGAAGTGCTGCTGACTTTACTCCTGTGTGGGCAAGCACAGCGGCCTCGGGGCTGGGATCAGCCCCACGTCTGCCTCCCGGAACAGTCCCCACTGCCAGTGTCCACATCCATGGCCTGCCCTGGGCCAAGTGGAGCAGCTCGAGGAGTCCCCGTCCTTGCGGTGGTGGCAGCAGTGGCATCCTGGGTGCCTGGTGCTGGCCGGGAGCAGCAACTAAGCGTTGGAATGAGGTAGCCCCCTTGCCTCTGCTGTGGGAGGAGTCCCCGCTCCCTGCTGAGCATCCCAGCTGTGTGGGGGGTACACGAGGAGGGTTAGCAGCTCTCCGATGGAGACGGGGTGGGGAAGGGGGGCGGCGTGTCGGCCGGGCACAGCTGGGATGGGGCATCCTGGAAGGTGATGAGGCTGGACTCCTGGCTGGCACCCTTCCCGACTGTGCTGGGCTCAGGCAGCAGCGGGCTGTCGGCCTTCGCCCCTGCCTCCTCCTCGTCATCCTCCATGCTAGGCCAGGCTGACTGGTCCTCCACGCGCTTCAGCCGCTCGTTCAGGGCCTTCAGGGCCAGCTGCCTGCAGGGCAAAGACAGACAGATGGGTTAACCCTGGGACTGACGGGCAGGGCAGGGGTTAACGGCTCTGCCCCACAGGCCACTGTGCAAGGCCATCCCTGGCTTCTTCCGTGAGAGGGGGGATTCAGCAGCACTAGAGATGACCCAGAGCCCCTGGGACTGCCCCACAGAAACCCGTTCATGCTCCCAGACTACACACGCAGAGTTCTGGTGCCACGTGGTGCGCTCAGAGGCTGTCAGATGGCACACAGGCTGCTCCGGGAATAGGGGAAGAGAGACGTAAAGCAGTGCAGGGGAAAGCAGAGCACCAACGCCTTGTCCAAATCTTCCTGCCGGGTCTTGGGAAGGCCAATGTCAGGCATGCAGGAGGGCCGGGGTGTGGGGCTGACTCAGCAC